TTTTGGCCCCCACCCCTCCCCCCCCCCCCGGGAAATTTCCCCGGTTTTTGTTTTTCTTCTTTTTTTTTTGGGGGGGAAAAAGGGGGGGGGGGGGGGGGAAAAGGCCCTTTTGGAATTTGCGGCTTGCCCCCCCTTCCCCCCCCCCCCCCCCGGGGGGTATTTTTTTGGGGAAAAAAACCCCCCGTCTTTGCCCGAATTTTTTTTTCCGGGGAAAAAAACCAATTTTTTCCCCCCTTTTTTTTTTTTTTTTTTAAATTTCCCCCCGGGGGGGCCTTTTCCCTTTTGGGGGGTTTTCCCTTTTTTTTCCCCCCCGTTTTAACCGTTAAACCCGGGGTAAAAAAAAGGGAGGCCCCCCCCCCCCCCCCCCCCGGCAAAAATAACATCTCTGGTACATGGCCGACAACACTAATGCACGATAGCTTAACTTGTTGGCTCTAGGTTTTCGGCGGGGTCCACAACTACAAGACCAAGATGTGCGAGGTTTACGAAAGGCTCAGCACGGTTTGCGTACAGGTGAGTGCTGGATAGCCCGCCCGCGCCCTGTGGGGGTCTAAGGTGGAGGCCGGAGGAGGTTCTTCCGGAAGGTTTTCCTCATGGGAGGAGGGGGGGGTACTCATAGTCGTGCATGCCGTAGTCGTTAGACCATTGACCTTGCATCCCTACAAAGCCGGGACGGAGCACGCCGGGTTCTCACCGGACCAGGCTCTTACATCACCAAGCGCGAAGCGCCGTGAGGTATTCGGCGAGTCGCATGAAGGGTGAACTGCATCCTGCTAAGGGTGTTCGGCATCTTGTGCTTACTTCCTTGCGTACGGATGACAGCTGCGTATGACTTAATTTATTTTCTGGTGCTTTCACTTCCAGAGACAGTTGTAAGCACTGTGTAACTGCCTCGAGGATGCTTGGCCATTTTAACACAACGTGGTGCGATCATCCCCCTTGCGCGGAGTGAGGGTTCTCCACCCCGCACAACATGATCTACTCGACCACCATCATGGTTACCGCAAAAAAGAACAGAGGTAAAAAAACACCGGTAACCTGGTTGCCGAGTTCACGAAGTGAATTGGCTTGTTTTACAACGTCGTTGCCAAGCGACGGAAACCCAATCCCGATGGCAAACACCGAGGGGGGGGCTTGTTTTACAACGTCGTTGCCAAGCGACGAAAACCCGACCCCGATGGCAAACACCGGGGGGGGCGGAGGATGGGAGGGGGGGGGGGGGTTGTTTGGGATGGGCCAGAAACCAGAATTCCGGGGTCCACTCTGTGGAGTTCTGCTTTTTTTGGTTGGTTCGAAACACTTTTGTTCTACCAGTTGTTTTCGAAGGCGACGTTACCGTGAACTCGGTGGTCACTTTTAAAAATTTGAAGTTTTTTTTTTTTCAAACCTTGATGACAGCGCGGAGCAAATAATCACTTCCAATACCCAAGGTAAAGGGTAGGTTGCTTGGAGGGAGGACGTTGAACAGGTTCTGAGAGAGCCTTGTCTAGCCCATCCCGGTGACAGGGGGGTCATGGAGGAGGATAGCAGCAATCTCCCACCCCACGACCTCACGGAATTCGCCATCGAAAGCTTTTGATTTCTTGCCACAACCACGAGTTGTAGCGAGTTGCAAGTCGGCGAATTTGTCATCCTACAGATTTATTCCAAACGTCGTTTGTTCACACCTCTCGGCAAATTTCTGGAGGCACCAGCTAGGGTCGGTTTCACAGGAGGAGGCCGGCCACACGGAGTTTTTTCTCCGCCTTCCTTCTGCGATGTGTTCTTAAGTCCCCAAGACTCACGCATGCAACAAAGATTTTGATCTGTATACACTGGGGGGGGCGGTGGAACTGAAAACATGTCAGGTGCACGTGGACGACAACAACGGAGAAATTTCGTTCGCCCCGGTGGCAGAGATCGGAAGCGGCGACAGCAGTAGTGGGGATGGTGTGGGCGGGGGGGAAGCAGGCGAGCAAACGGAGCAAGAGGAGGAGGAGGAGGGGGAGGAGGAGGAGGGGGAGGCGGAGGAGGAGGAGGAGGAGGAGGAGGAGCAGGAGGAGACGGCACGATATGGCTGCGATCCCCGCAACGCTTGGTCTCCATGGGGGTAAGCGATGGCGTGGGCGGCCCCTTGCACGCTTTAGCACCGTGGGTGACGTAAGATATCACGCCCCCTGGGCCGGTTTTCAAGGCTCGATTTCTCCACAGCAGAAAGATCGGCGGTGTCCAAATGGCGGCGTGGGAACCTTGTCGTCGAGAGTTTTCCAAAAACGTATCGTTTTAGAAAACGTATCGTTCAAAGAAAGAGTATCGTTTTAGAAAAAGTATCGTTTATGGAAAACGCATCGTTTATAGAAAACGTATCTTTTATTGAAAGCTTATCGATTATAGAAAATGTATCGTTTGAATTGTACATCCTCTTGGTCGTGGAGCAATCGAGCTTGAAAAATTCGGTCCAGAGGGTGTGATATCTTATATCGCTTACAGAATCCGCATGTGACGCGGCTTGTACTGTTTACCGAAAGTATGCGAGAGATGGCACCGGGTGCGATCAAAACATAAGAAATGTTGGTGTTTTTTTGCACACCCCGGTGCCAGCCATCTCTCCATAACTGGTGGCATCTCTCCGAACCGTGCCATCGCTCGCATCCTTCCGGTAGTTGTTGCCGGAAAAACCCTTCCACTCCCACGTAGTTGGAGCACGGGGCGGCAGGCAGCAGGAGTTTTTGGCGGGAGTAGTGTCGTTCGAGCTTGTACTTGGGCATTCCCGGCCATCTGAGAAATTCCCGAGCGGGCTCTACCCCCTGCTTTAGTTTCTTGTGGTTGGCTAGAGATACGGCGATACGCACCCACAACGTCTGCCCTTTTGTTTTCGTTTTCGTTTGCTTGCGTTCCAACGGACCAGATGTTTCTCACGGCATATGATCACGTGCTTGGTTCTTGTCGGATGAGAACGGGGTGTGGGGTGGTTCATTTTGCGTACCCCCCTGAGGTTGAGGGCCCCTCGGAGAAGGGCTTTTTTTTTTTTTTAGACTCTCTGATGGCTGCTCAATCGTCGAACGTGAAGTGCTGATAGGAGGTGCTTCGTATGGTGATGCATGTACAGGAGGGTACGTAACCGCTGGCATTGCAGGAATGAATCAGATCAGCAGCACCACGCACTGCCTGAAAGATGCATTTGTCTCCTTGTCTGCCAATCTGATTGAATCTGCCTTCCACCATCAACAACAACAACAACGTCGAAGCTATGCGGTGGTGACGGTGGAGGGCCGAACGGTGCTGGACGTGGTCCCGCCAACGATAACCTTCTCCAAGACGCTCGTCACCACGCGCTCGGACCTCGACCCCTTCCTCCACGTCGAGGCCTTGACCTACGACCCCAGCAGCGGGGGTATCGGCGGCGGAGCCGCTGCAGGCGGCGGGGGAGCCGAAGGCGCTTCGGGGGAAGGGATCTCGCCGGAAGGTAGCGTCGGCGGCGGGGGCGGGGGACAGTTCTTGACGTTTGGGCTGTCTAGCTGGAACTCGGCTGTGGTCGGATCGGCGTTTCTGGTGGTGGGGCTGTTGCTCCTGGTGCAGCCGGTGCTGGCGCTCAAGGCGTGGTGGCGAGAAGGCGGCGTCGGCTCTGACGAGGGGGGCCCCACCGGTGGTGGGGGAGGTGGGTCTAACGGCGGGCGGAGCGGACGGGGCGGGAAGCTGCGGGGGCAGTGGCGATACGGGCAGCTTGAGACCGATTGGTGAGAGTGTGTGTGTTGCCTCACGTTGGTTGCCCGTTCCGTCGCCTCTCTCTCAAGCTCGACACGGCGGTTCTGTTTAATGCGGTGGTGGGGAGAGGTCCGTGGGGTTGGGGCGGAGCTAGAAGCGATGGTGGCGAGGGAGACCGAGCTGTTGTAGTCAAAGGCTTGGCAGGGGTGTGTTGGGTGTAATTTTGGGGCGAGACGGGGGGCGAAACGCGTTGAGGTGCTCGTTTGGTGCTTGGCTGACTCTTGGCCACGCGTCCCTTCAATTTGTTCGACGCCTCTCGAGTGCTTGTCTTAACGTGTCGAATGGTTCGTTTAGTACGCCCTCCTGCGTTTGAAGTGCAGACCTTCCAGTGTGTTGTGCTCTCTCAAGCCTCGTTCTGATTGAGGGTGCTTGTTGTTGTCGCGTGGTGTGTGACATTTCGCGCGCTCTCGTGTTTTTTTCTTTTTTTTCAGGGACGACGGATCGGAGTTTGTAGACGGGGGAGTGTACGAGGGCGAGGACGATGACGACGATGGCTGGGGTAGCGAGGGCGACTGGCAAGGGGAAACGTCGAGCGGGTGAGCCGTTACACGACTTGCTGCTACTGCTGTTGCCGTTGCCGTCGCTGTGATCCCAGCACTGGCTGCTGCTGCCGCTGCTGTTGCTGCTGCTGCTGCTGTTGCTGCTGCTGCTGCTGCTGCTGCTGCTGCTGCTGCTCCACGGCTGCGAGTGCCGTGCTACGATCTATGGCTGTTTGTTCTGAATCATGATATACGACGATGCCCCACCCCCCACCCCGCGGACTCCTCATGGTGTAGTTGAAAACCCAACGTTAACATTGGCAGCACCGACTACGGAAATGTTGCTTACTTACATCCTCCTTCCATCCCCTCAAGACCTGAAATACCTCGCACGTGCATGGCAAAGTGCTGCGTTATACCCCCGACCACGCCCCCCCATTTTTTTCTCCCTGGGAAATTGTCTTTAGTTTCTGGCCGCGTTCATTTACAAGAAGTTCGACTTTGTAGGTTAGTGTTTCTGCGTTCATTTTTTGAGGAGTTCGACCGTGGTTAACGAGTAGTCTTTCTGTGTTCTGTGTTAGTATATATAATGCTAAGAAAATAAGTTCGCCGCTTTCACGCACCGTTGGTCACCCGAGACCCCCTCCTCCCCTTCGCTCTTTGGCAGCGTTGGCAGGCCACCGTCGCCTTCTGAAGGGAATCACTTCCAGGCAAGCGCCACCCCGAGGTTGGGCAGGAGGTTCATGCAGGATTCCCTCCGTAGACGTGCGGCAGATGGCGGGGCGCTCGGCACAGGCGGCGGCGGCGGCGGCGGCGGCGGGGGGGGGGGGGGGATCCGTGGAGACGCGGGGGGGATACAGCTGGGGCCGATGGGGAAGAGCGGGCGGGGCGAGGCTAACCTGATTTGAGTTGTAATTGTTGCTTGTTGTTGTGGTGGGGGTTGTTTGTCGGTGTGCGACTGTGCTCGTAGTCGGGATTGGTTGGTGTTGCTGGTGTGTTTGTTGTGTGGTTGGGCTTGGTGCGTGTGGTGGGGCCGCTATTGGTAATTTGACGGTGGTAAGTGTTGGTGACGGATGTGTCGACCGCCCCGTTTCAGGCTCGGGAGAGAATGGAGAATGAACGGGCGCGAGCTTACCAACACACTCCTTGCAGATTTTCATAGATGGTCAGGTCTACGGTAGTGTGGTGTATAGCAGTATGTATTGTTGTTTGTTTAGTGGGCCGACTGGTGTCTGGTTCTTGGAGCTAGTTAGACTATTGGATGACAGTGCTCTGTCGTTTTTATGTTTTTATGGGGGTCGGCGCCGCTTAAAAAATATTATTGTGTCTGCACTCGGTTGATGTCCTCTTCCCGTGGCCAAAATACCGACGAATTTTCGGGCATCCGTGTTTTCTCCCTTTTGGGGGATGAGAATTACACCTCGCGATTAAGGTGACACTGGGGGGCGTGTACATGCATGCGGCGAAAAGGCGCACGTCAGAGTTCCCGGCGACTACCCTTGCCAAAAATGCGCCATTTCGATTCTCAACGATTGTAACAAGACGCCCACAAGGCCCCTCTGCAGCTCTGCAGAGCGCAGACAACGATGTTTTCGAGATCGGGCAAAACTCTGGGCAGAACTTTTCCCGGCCGAGCGGTAAAGCGACGCTCCCGCGTGCAACGCAGTATTTTATTCTCGCTCTTTCGGGGGGGGGGGTACCCCCCCCCCCCCCAGCTCCAATTGACCGAGGCAAGTGCTCATTTTTTAAGGAACAATAAAAACACACACAGAAAGACTACCCATTCGAGATATACCCACAGTCGAACGGGATGTGGTGGAGTCTTTTCAGTTATGTTCTCGGATGAAGCGTGGCGCCGGCGCCATGCCGAATTTCTCATGTTTTCAAAGGTGTATCTTTGTAGCTTGCATTCAAGACCGCGTACGTACGTACCAGGAACCTCACATATTCGTAGTCATCGCACAGTCATCGCACAGTCATCGCACAGGGGTGCGATGACTAGCAACCTATACAGTAGATTCTCGACAGCCGCGAGGAGTACCGGTTTCGCCTTTTCGAGAAGTGCGGCGTGGCGATGACTGTTGGCCGTTCGGGTGATGACCGAATCAACTTGGAGGGTTTGGACAAACCGTATACCTTCATGGACGCCGAGGACTCCAGCGATGACGAGGGACCTCTAGAGCCTGGGGAGGGTGCGGGGGGAGGGGGTGACCAGAGGTTTGAGGGAGACGGAGAAACTAGCAGGGAGGGCATAGAGGACGGCGGGTCCAGCGACGAAGACGATCACGGCAAGTTGGATGTTAACCAGACTCTTTGTATTTTGTCGTTGTTGTTGCCGTTGCCGTTGCTGTTGCTGTTGCTGTTGCTGTTGCTGTTGCTGTTGCTGTTGCTGTTGCTGTTGCTGTTGCTGTTGCTGTTGCTATTGTTGTTGTTGCTGTTGTTATTATTGTTATTGTTACCGCTGTTGCTTCCATGGATGTTTCATGTTGAGGAAACTAACTTACTGACGACGGTGATGTTACTGCGTGATTCAATGCCGATCTCTGCAGTCACGGCCCGCGGCCAGAACGACGAGCTGAGTCTTCTGGACGAAGACGACACCATGGACCCGGCCCATGAGATTCACGGCATGCAGATTCCCGACGGTTTTCGCCTTCAAGAGGCCACTCCCGGTGTTCTTGATAATTCGTTTACTGCAACGTGGAGTACTAGTTAGGCTGAGCCTAGGTTGGTTCGGTGGGCTGATGACTCGGCAGTCCCAGGAGCGTACCCGTCACCTTTACGACTACCGTGTGCATTTTGAGCTAGACCAAAGTACACGCAGCATGAAGCTGCCGTTGGAGAAGTACAGTGAAGATGCGGATGCGGTGGTAGGGTCGTGGGTTTTGCTGGAGGGGGACACCGTAGAGGAGGGGGGAGATCTTACCATCGTAGAGCAGGGGAGAGATCCGGCCACAAGCAGTACAGTCACAACGGGAGGAGTTACTAGAGCGGGGAGGACACGCACGCCCAACGCGACCCTTGTGGACCACTAAGTAAGCAGTTGAATGTTACCTCTTCTTACGGCGATGCCGCGTCTGTCTGCCCTTCTACTTTACAGTGATCGCGGAAGCTGCAGTGCGTTCGATCCGGAGGTCCTGTTGAACGATAGTTTTATGCTGGTGTCAAACACTCTACTTTCAAGTGTCACGTTGAGGTTCATCCGCATTGACCTCCGTCCTCTGCTCCTCTGCATGGAGTACAGTAGTCGGCGTAGAAATAAGAACAAGAACCCCATTTATCGTAGGTGGATACCTGCTGCTCCAAATAAGAATTCGGCAAATAAGAACATGTGCTCGGTTTGGGGCAACCAATAAGCGTCGAGCCTCACGTAAAATAAGCGGTTCTTTAAGTGGTGGTGCGTTCTGTATGGGCAGCTCATCGTCGCACACCACACGCGGAGATATGAAGGAAATGAAATACATTGATGTTTCCATTGGATCGGTAAGTAAGCTTGAACATTTTCCATTCAACCAAAACTACCCGCGCGTCCGCAGAGGAAGGGTCGCCACCACTAGCAGCCCCTGAGATCGCGGTACCCCCCGTACTTGAAATCTACGACATGACGCCCCAGCGATTGTGTGTCGCGTGTAGGCACAACGACTGGACGACGGGAAATTATGTTTTCCGCCCGTGGGATTTCGTATTTCGCTGTTTTTTTTGTGTACCATGACGCCTACCTACCAATTTACGGTGAAAGGCGTTTTGGCCTTTTTTGGCCTTGCATAGGACTGTTGCATATCCGGCCTATCACAGGCCACAGTTTGCTATAGGGGTTGAATGGTTAGACTACGGTGTCAAGGTCTCGGTGCTCCGCCCCGTGGTGTGCTTCCTGGACCTGCTGTTGCTGGTCCTCTTCGAAGACAAGGGGTGGTGTGCTTGGTGAAACCTATTGTTGTTGCCTCTCTGGGGAGACAAGGGGCTGCACAAGGTACGGGTGTTGAGCCGCATATAAATTTCGTCTGTAACAACCAATCTTACGGACTACTGCGAAGGAGGACGTTGGCTGCGCGAAGCAGAGAGCGGATCCCCATTTGTAGCTCTGCCGTGTGCGCCCATCAACGCACCAAGTGATTCAGATCACTGCAGTGACTGCGAGTGGGTTGCGCACTTGTCTGCTGCCGCGAACCTTTCCGGTACAGTAGTGTTTTTTTTTGTCCCGTGCATGCATGTCTTTGCAGCATTTGCTGCTCTAAGGCCATGCACCGTACTCTTGAGACCACGGGACGGTGTCGTTGCACAATGTTGTGGATGGCTGGCTGCCCATCTGGCTCGCTTCTCCGTTTTTTCAGAGCAAGCACCGTTTGATTCATACAGCAGGTGTTACAACACACAAGACGCCACTGACCATGTAAATTTGGCCATATATCGGCACGCCCTAACCACGCTGCATGTCGCCTCAAACAACACCACAGGCTGCCGGCATCGCATGTGCATGTAGCGGTCGGAACGAAAGTCACCACAATGCTGCTGACTTCGACCTTTAGCGACATCGCCGAGGGCGAGGCGCTGCGCGAGCTTCACCCCGGCGGAGAGGGCGGCGGCGCCGACGCAACTCTCCTCCCGACGCGCCACGGGCGTCTGGCGGGCTGGCTTTCTGCCGCCCCGAGCCCCCCTCGCCTGGGGTCACGAGCCAGAAGCACCAGCTTTGCTAGAGGTCCTCCCGTCTCTCCCGCCGGAGTCGGCAACGGGGTTGGCAACGGTTTTCCAGACCAACAGGTGGCGACTACTACTCCTACCACCAGAACGTCGAAAGCGGTCCGCCGAGGGGACGTGGTAGCGGTGGAGCGGCCGCTCGTCGCGGCCCAGACCTCCGGGACCCTGCCCTGGGTGGCGGCGTGCCCGGGCTGCCTACGTTACGTGGGCGGCCTCGACGCCCAGCTTGCCGTGGCGTCCGGCGCACGCACCCGCGCGGAAGCCTTTCGTTCCGGGCCTCATCCTTCGGCGGCAACAGGGGAGCAGGGGCTCCCCGTGTTGGAAGGCGTTTCCGATCGCTTCGTGAGGGTGAGAGAACGATAACGGGGTAAGAGGGAGGGAATGTGAATCGAAGGATGGGGGGGGGGGGGTATACTCTCGTAGTCGTGCATGGCGTAGTCCTTAGACCGTTGACTTCGCATCCTTACAAAGCCGGGACGGAGCACGCCGGGTTGTCACCGGACCAGGCTCTCACGTCATCAAGCGCGCAGCGCCGGGCCGGGGCCGGCACAATGGTGTTTTTTTTAGTGGAGTTCGCAGGTGTGTGTTCATTTGCGATGGTGTCTTGTTTCGGCGCTGAGGTTTCGTAAGATGATTCAACCTATGCGATAATGACTGTGACGATGCATGAGGGTGGCAAAGACGATGACTTCGATGAGTTCATGATGGAGGATTTGTGTTGTTCGCGCGCGTTTTGGTTGTCGAGTGTGTGCTTTCTGCGTGACAACACGCGTAGGTAGCCAGCCACAGCAGCGGCAAAATCGTTTAGTTACGCTGCCCCCTCGACGTGTGGCCTCAAGCTTCGACCCCCTCGAACATGTCGAACTTGGATGAGTCGGCCCACCCCCTGGGGGACGGACACACAAACACACACACACACACACACACACACACACACACAAACACACAAAATCTTCGTCCAACCAACTGTGAACTCTTGCGCTGTAGTGGGAGTTGCAGCGGCGGGGCTACCGGATGCCCGCCGCAGACTTGCACGAGCATGAGTCGTCGTGCGACCACAACGACGAGACGGGCGGCAACAAACTATCGCTTCACGTAGTAGATAGTCCGCGCCTTTGGCAGAAGGCGCCCCCCGCGAAGGAATTGCGTGCTTTTCCGGTGTGACGACAGGCTCTGGCGTCGTCTCAACGAGCCACCTTTGGTTGGAAAACACAACCCGGTTCGAGAGGGCCCAACGCTGATGCAAGACTCACCGAGTGGTTCGTGGAACGCACGCAGCCCGCTCACCCTTCGATGGAAATGTCGCCGCACGGCGTGCTCGCGCTCGGTGTCTCACCGACCTGGTTGTCGAAAGCCCGACAGGCGTTCTTTGTGCGTACCGGCTTTGTGCGGATGCGACGGCCAGCGTGTGACGGCTGCTACTAAGGCAATGGGTCGTTTATATCAACTCTTGCTCGCCCTCTCCGTGGGCGCCTGTGTGTAAGAATTTCTTCTCCCTCCCTCTCTCCCTCTGCCTTTCTCCCTTCTCCCTCTCTCTCTCCCCTCCCCGTTCCCTCGCCTTATCGCAACAACCTTGTTCTCTTTTTCGCCTGGCAGCCTACCGTCTCCTGCTCGGGCGGTTGCGGCGCGATCTACTGCGGAGAGGACTGCCGTCGGAGGTGCTGGGGCTCGGGGCACTCCCTCCTTTGTCTCGGTCTCGTTGACGATGAGCACCACCCTCTCGTTCGTCACAAGGTTGGTACAGCCTTTCCTTGCCACGGCTTAAGGACACCATTTTTTATGAGCACTCCCCCGGTGAAGGACGCCTTGTTTTTCACGGGCATGGTGCCCCGCAGAATGTGCAAAATAAGATCAAGGGTATGTCGGAGGTCACCGCGACGTCTTTTGTCAGAAAGTAGTTTGGGACCGTTGGTTGGTTTACAGCAACGGACAGCACTTTGTTTGTGTGGCGACTTTTTATCTTCCCTACACATTTCCACCCACCCTTTGTTCTGACTCTGACGAAAGCTGTTGTCGTCGTCGTCGCCGTCGCGTTTGTCTTGGTCCCGTTCCTACAACCCCCCCCGCGTTAGGTCCACGCTCTCGCTCACCCGGAGCTCGAGATGCCCCTCCTCCTGGCCGCCGCGCTGATCGTGCAAGCCGCTCAGGCGGTCGCCCGGGCCCACCGCTGCACGTTGGTGGCCGCATCCACGGCCTCCCCCTCGTCTCCGGATGGCGACGCGGCCGCCCCTCCCTCTCCCTCCGCTGCTCCCGTCCAACGGGAGTCGGCGATAGAAGAACGCCGGCCGGATCCCTCGCCGGCCACGACCACCGTTCCTGCTGCCGCCGCCGCCGCTGCCCTGAGCAAACGCAGCGCCGCCTGCAACCACGGAGAAAAAAATTATGCCGCGGTCTGCGGTACGGGGGGCGGCTCCTCTCCGGCGGCGAGCGAGAACGGCATTGTCGGCGGCGGCGGCGGCGGCGGCGGCGGCGACGGCGACGGTGGCGAGGACAACGATCAGTCGCAGGAGCGTTGCGGCCCGACGAGCTGGGCCGGGCTCGAGGCCGCCGCGGTGAGGGAGATAACAGAGGCGTTTCCCCGGGGATGGCTTGCCGACGTCCCCCCCCCCGCGGCGGCGGCGGCGGCGGAAGCACCAGTCATCAGAGAGTCCTGGACGCTTCTCCTCGAGGCGTTGGAGTCGAAGGTCGTGTCCGGCGGGACGGAGGCGGGGGCGGGGGCAGTAGCAGCACCGGTCGAAGAGGGAGGAGACCCTGGAGGTGGTGCCGTCCTGATCGACCCCGGGAGGTTTCCGCTGCTGCTGGGCCGCCGTTTCCACGAGAGCGTCGTCAGGGGCCTCGCGGCTAACCTGTTGGAGGTGGAGGTGAGGGCGGGGAGTGGAGACGCTTGCTTCGCATGCGATGTTTTGAATGCTGTCGGCGGATTGCTTTGTGTGTGGTAATGATTTGGGGCCCTGCGGCTTTTGGGGAGGCGGGTGTTTTCGGTTGGACTACCTGCTGTGCGTCCGCCACCCTGGTGCGTCACAGACAAGTTCATCTCCCGCATCGGCTTGTGATAGCGAGCGCAGACAAGTTCAAGAGGAAATAAAACCGGGATGAGTTGCCCCCGTTTTCCCACCAGACGAGCTTAACCCCCGGTGCACGTTGTCGAGAAGCGGTATGATAGCTCGAGGGTTCTAAGTCCCCAGCAGCAGTTCTCTTAATCGAGCCAACGAATAAGGAGGAAACTCTCTTGGCGTATATTGTGTTTGGGCCAGCGAGCTCGGTTGTTTGTTTTGAGGTTTTGCCAAGCTCCACCTCCCCCGCCTCATCTAAGTCGCTCTCATTCGTGGTGTTCCCTCGCTCCCTTTCCCCCCTTCTCCCCGTTTTTCCCTTGCCTGTTGTATCTTTGTCTCCTCAGCCCCCTCCTCCCCCCCCCCCCCCTGTCTGTCTGTCTGTCTGTCTGTCTGTCTGTCTGTCTGTCTGTCTGTCTGTCTGTTTGTCTGTCTGTCTATCTATCTATCTATCTATATATCCGTCTATCCGTCTGATCTTTGTACCCCGTCTCCCCCCCGCCCTCCCGCCATGCTTTTGTCTATCTTACGGATCAGGTCGAATCGCCCGTGGTCGAGTACTGCCAAGCGCTCGTCACCCAAGGTGTTGACGTTCAACGCCAGGCACTCAAGGTTACATGAAATATCTGCAGCTCTGAGTTTTACCCAGCCATAGAAAGTGAAGCAGCTGGCGCCAAACAGCGGTGTTGTTGTGAGGGTGTTCGGGGTTGTGGTCGACGCGTCTTCTTCGCCTATCCACGGTCGATATTCGTCGAGATGGGCAATCTCTGCACATCGTTTTGTCGCCTTGCCTGATGGACCCCAAGCTACACAACCCTTAACACCCCAACGAGTTGGTCTTGGGGCAGGAAGACTCCTGTTCGCCCCAACCGTTGTGTTTTCGTCTACCGGTGTTGTCGCCCGATGCGCTTGGTCCTCCGTGGAGGGTGTGCGAGTACAAAAGGAAACAACGGGGTGTCAGCAAAAGCAGCTCCGAAATCTGAACCGTTCTGTTCTGGTTTTCCATCCATGTGCCGACGGGGCCTTGTGCGAAGCATGATGGGAAGTGGCGGATTATTATTGGTAGCTCATGTTGTACCTTTAGGAGTTCTAGTTATTCTTTTTGATCTTGAATTAGCGGTTGACACAAAACACGTCATCCCCGCTACACGCCCTCTTACGTCTACATCTGTCTATGTTTTTCTCCCTCCCTCTCTCTCTCCCCCCGGTGTTTGCCATCGGGGTTGGGTTTTCGTCGCTTGGCAACGACGTTGTAAAACAAGCCCCCCCGTCGGTGTTTGCCATCGGGATTGGGTTTCCGTCGCTTGGCAACGACGTTGTAAAACAAGCCAATTCACGTCGTGAACTCGGCAACCAGGTTGCCGGGGGGTTTTTGCCTCGTATTTTTTTTTTTGGCGATAACCATAATGGTGGTCGAGTAGATCATGTTGTGCGGGGTGGAGAACCCTCACTCCGCGCAAGGGGGATGATCGCACCACGTTGTGTTAAAATGGTCAAGCATCCTCGAGGCAGTTACACAGTGCTTACAACTGTCTCTGGAAGTGACAGCACCAGAAAATAAATTAAGTCATACGCAGCTGTCATCCGTACGCAAGGAAGTAAGCACAAGATGCCGAACACCCTTAGCAGGATGCAGTTCACCCTTCATGCGACTCGCCGAATACGCCTCACGGCGCTTCGCGCTTGGTGATGTGAAAGCCTGGCCCGGTGAGAACCCGGCGTGCTACGTCCCGGATTTGTAGGGATGCGAGGTCAATGGTCTAACGACTACGGCATGCACGACTATGAGTACACCCCCCCCCCCCCGCTCTCTCTCCCTCTCTCTTTCTCTCTCTCCCCTAGCGTTTGTCGTGTGCCTTGTTTAAAGCATCGCCCTTCCACTCCCTATTTGGTTCTCTGTCGACCTCTCGACATGCCCATCTCCTTACCTGGCCGGGTACACAACCTTTTACCACCCCGACCTGTTCCTTTCTCATGCACCTACAACGCCTGCAGGTCCTCGAGCCCGCGCTCAACGGCATGGAGGACGAAAACGACTTCCCAGATTCTGATGAAATCAGCAGCAGCAGCAGTAGCAACGGGGTGGAGAGCGACACCGAGAGCGAAAGGGATGGCAGCGTCGACAGCAGTGGCGGGAGGGCCTCGGACACGTCGAGAAGTAGCATCGTGAACAACGCGAAGAACATCTCCGGGAACCGTTCCGGGAACTGTCCCGAGAACCTTCCCGAGAACATTCCCGAGAACATTCCCGAGAACATTCCTGAGGACCTTCCCGAGAACCTCCCCGAGATCCATCACCGTTACGAGAACCGTTCTCGGGAACGCCTGGCGTGGCGCTGCGTGCAAGCGGCGCGCTCGGCCTCCCGGCTCCTGCCTCGGCTGACGGCTCACGCGCTGCTCCCGGCGTCCGCCCTCCGACTGACCCACTCCTGCGCCCCCGCCGTCCGCGTGCCCGCCGGAGACCGCCGCAGCTACAACGTCGGCGGCGGCGGCGGCGGCGTTTCTGGTGCTCCGACCGCCGGTGCGGCCGGGTGGCCCTTGACGGTGACCACTGTCGCCCTGAGGGACCTTGCCGCCGGGGAGGCGTTATCCTGCTCCTGGGTGGACCCGGAAGAGACGTTTTCGGTCCGGATGGCCAAGCTCGAGGAGTACGCCCGATTCCCACCGTGCGCTTCCGATGATGATGATGATGATGATGATGATGATGTCCCGACCGTCGGTGATTGCGCCGCCTTTTATTGTCTTCTCGAGGGCGGTGTCGGCGTCGGCGCCAAAGGCTGCCGAGGTTCAAAAGAGAACGGGGTCTCCGGGAGACGCGGCGAAGGAAAGCTGGCATCACTACAATCTATCGGCGGGTGTGGTTGCGGCTGCCCGAAGTGCCTGGTGGAAAGCGGGGGTTTAGATGGCGACGGTAGCGAGGGGATGTCGGGCGCAGGGGCGGCGGAGCGGCTGCTCAAGGCTGCCCAGCAGGCGGTGGATGAAGACCGGTGAGGTGACGGCGTCTAAATAACCGCCTGAATCGCTGCCTGAGAGCAAGAGGATGCTTTGATCTCCCTGGTTGGTTTGGCGTTTAGCGGATTGTTTTGGTTCCGGGGAGCTGGAGTGATTGGCCAACCTGTGACGGTGGTTGTCAGCTATACCTGCTGGTGCGCGGCGGCAACGTGTGGTGTAAACGCCACGGTATGGTTGTCTTCACTCCCACCTCGCCTCCGATGTACAAATGTGTCGCGTGGTAGAAGGCGGTAGTTTCCGACAAAAAAGTGTTCTGCGACGTATCCTCTTGCCAGGAGCCTTCCTTACCCGGGTAATGTAACCATGCCATCAAGGTCAGACCCTTACCTAAGCGCATGACGTCCATGCCGTCCCCCGCTTCTCGTCCACCCCCCACCCCCCACGGACTTCCTTCATCTTCAAGCTTCGACGATGCGTTCGAAGCGTTATCAAGGGCAGCCAGGGCTGCGCCGGACAACTCGGACATCCTCTACCGAGCCGGTGTTTGCGCCATCAACCAGGGGCGGTGGAGCAGGTGCTATTTGAAGCTTACCAGTAGACACTTATTTCCCGTCAGCGGGGCGGGGCAGTGAGATTCGGGTGCCCGTGGGTAGGCTCGTGTGTAGGTGTTTATTTTCTTTCTTTCTTCTCCAACCTTTGGCACACGCAGGATGTTGCTATTGCCGTCGCAGTTCAGTTCTTTCCCAGGAAAGGGTTAAACTCTGCCGTACATTGGCTCAATGCTCGTGGCAAAGGCCCGCGACACGCCTATTAGAACGCGCCATGGACTGGCTGTAGGCTTTACCATGAGTGAGTGGATCGATTGATGGATGGATGGATAGACTGGCTTTAGCTCCACCATGGGTGAGTGTGTGGATAGCTGAAATAGATACATGCTGCACGACCTCGGCAGCGCCATGCGTGGACATCGTAACCGCGATTCGCGGCTTCACCGATGCTCGCCGCGAAGGGCGGTATTCCGATTTTCTGCGCCAGCCTTGCCTGCCCGGGGGCAGTAGTAGCCCGTCAATTAGGTTGCCGAGGAACCGGTGGCTCTGCGCTCAGCGCCAACGTATGTAGCCGATTTTCCGGAACCGCCGTCGATCCTACCCCCTGCCATGTTAACGAAGCGCTAGCTTCCCCGTAGGTTGAGAAAAACTCCGGTGGATCTAGTTCACGCAGGCGACGCGTGGTGCACACAAGTACCATGGTATGCTGTCGGGCGTTGTGGAGGTCTGTGGTGTTGTTTTGATCCTCGCCTCCGCGCTGGACATGGTTCTGGCTGTGCCGGACGTGGACCGGGCAGGATCCCACGCCCCCCCCCCATCCCACCCACCCCTCCGCAAGGAACGATGGGCCATCGGTGATCAGTCCTGCGGCAACAATGCTCCGTCCTCTCGAGGACGTGTGGGCAGTGGTCTAACAACACAAGGCATGCAAAACATGAGTACCCCCCCCCACCCCCCACCCCCCATCTTCCTCACCGCCGCCGCCGCTGCTGCTGCTGCTGCACAGGGCTCTCCGGCTGTGGAGGGACGGTCTGGCCCTATCCCCTGACCATCCGGAGCTGAAGCGAGAGGCGGAAAAGTACCAGGCACTCGCTTTCTGGCTTGATCCCGGCAAAGGGGATGCCAACCCCGACGCAAGAAGCAGTAGCGGTGCCCTCGTAGGCGCGGCGACAGACAGCAGCACCGCCGCCGCCGCCGCGTCGTCCCCTCCGTTTTCATCGCCACCGCCTCCGCTGACGACAGGCGGCCAGGACGACGGCTTCACGGCCACGGCACTGCTACCCGCCGGAGAAGCTTTCGACAACCTCGACGTGGACTTCATGACCGGCCACGGGGAGTGGGTGTGCAGCACGCGGCTTCCCCTCCTCTCGGCATCCGAGTGCTCCGCTATCGTCAACGAGGCCGAGGAGAAAGCCTCCGCCGCCGTCGCCGCGGCAGCCGGCGGCGGCGGCGGCGGCTGCGGCGGCAGCGGCGGCTGGGGGACGTCTAGGCACTACGCCGTCCCGACGACGGACGTGGCGGTGCGCGAGCTCCCGCGGACCCTTGCGTGGTTCAACCGGGCGATGCGGACGCGGATAGGCCCGACCGTTGCGGTCGCCGCGGCGTTGGGCGGAGGCGTTTTCGAGAGGCCGGGCCGACGGTCCGGTTCGTTGAAGCGCAGTCCGCCCGTGGCGGAGCCACACGCGCAAGACGAGGATTTCCCCGCTCGCGCGGTTTGCTCCGCTGCTGATAGCGACGAGGCGGCAGAGTCGGCGGAGGCTCTGCGGGCAAGCGCGTCGGTAGAACCGGAGAACGGGCAAGAGCGGCGGCAGGTGGAGAGCGACGACGACCAGGAGGGACAGGGGCGAGAGGCAGAAGAGCCTCGCGGGAGACCAGGAGCACCAACGCCTCCTCCTCCAGCGCTGATGTTGCGGAGGCTCAGGGTCCACGACGCGTTCGTGGTGCGGTACGACGCCGCCGCCCAGCGCTCCCTGCCCCTGCACACGGACCAGGGGGAGCTGTCCCTGACCATCTCCCTCAACGGTACCGGCGAGTACGAGGGCGGGGGCACGTGGTTCGAGGGTCTCGGCAGTGCCGTCCGGCCCGAGGAGGCCGGTCACGTGGTCGTGTTTCCGGGGGGGAGGACCGTGCACGGGGGGAGGGAGGTGACGAGGGGGGTCAGGTATATCCTAGCCGTGTTCTTGTACGAGCATTGGGAGGAGGAGGAGGAGGAGGAGGAGGAGGAGGAGGAGGAGGAGTGAGGGCGGCGTGGCGAAGGGGCGTGGTCGGGGCTCGATTGGCTGGGTCCATGCCGCAGTAGAAGATATTCACTCTTGCCTCCCAGAAATATATATATATATATACAGCTGCTCGCGAAGCGGCAGAAAGGAACGGTGATCGAGCCACGGCACGAGAGACGGTTAACTTGACTGACACGGCCGCCGGAGACAGGACAGCATCTATCCTGTTTAGCTCCATTTGTTGTGAGTTTGATCCACGAAACCAAAATGAGCTCTGCATAGCTACACGCGCGTCGACTCACGCACTGGCGTTCCCGCAGCGGGGACCGGTGGTGGCCGTTTTCGGTGGAAACCTCCACAAGGATTACCGCGGGGAAGGAGTTCTTTTCACGGTGCAGAACAATATTGCAAATCGAACGGGTGAGTTTCAAGCGCCAACCGCTAAGACTTTAAGCAGCTGACGTTGACGATGAACCGAGTATCGCGTTCCAGGTGTTCGACAAAGGGCCCTTCAAACCAGTGCCATGGCAATGCCCGGAACCGACAGCCGCAAGTACAACACCACTGCTGCGAGATATCAACGCCGCCGCGTGCATACGTTCGGGGACAACACTCCGCCATCGTGTTCAAGTGTTCACATGTTTTGTGTCGCATGGGGCATGGTGTGCGATACCCAGCATCGCATTGTTTGTTGTTTGGTTTCCGTCCTCGTGGTGCCCTGGGTATTGTCCTCAGTGTGAGCTATATGGTTCGTCGGGAGGGACGCGATAGTGACATGCTTAAGACTACGTTCCGCCTTGATAACTTCTTTTTCTCACTATAATAGCGAAATTGAGCTGCATTGTGCTTGAGAGTGCACGACAGCGCTACTGTTTGCCGACGCTGGCGCTGCTGATGAAAGCAAGCGCCGCTCCATATTTTTTTTCGTTTCACTCATATTGGTGTCCCCCTACAAACCCAGCCATGGTCAAGCGGCCGTAATGTACCTGTGGCAAGCATGGCTAGGTGGCTTAAATCCCTTTGAGAGTTGCCAAATACACCGGTTGCTTTTGGCACCGAAAAACTAATATAAGCTCTATCTAGCACCTGCACAGCACCACACACCTAGCTGCACACCAACTTGCACATCCCCGCGCAACGAACGTTTCGAATTTTCCGTCCAAAGAAAAGGCTTACTACCCGAAGAAGGTAAAACAAAAACTTTGTAAGACCGAGAGACAACGTTACCCGGAAAGGCTCATTGATGTGTATGACGGACCACCAGCAGTCAAGTAGAGAAATCTCCCCAGCCGTGCCACAAACCAAACGGAAACACGCTCCTGCGGTGTTGAGGAAAAACCCCAACTCCATGAGCAGCCGCAAGACACAAAAAATGAAATCGAGAAACTAGCGCCGCGTCGAGACGCCTTGTCACGCATCATGCCGCCCAAAGAGGGAAGCACCTCTTTTCATTCCTTACCTTCTTGAGACAGTCTATCCCCATACCTAACCACATCTTCCAACAGCATTGTGTACCGAGTCCCATCCGGGCGACTGCACACGGGGGTGCTGGCCAAACTCCGTGGTCTGACCCGCTCAAAAGCCGCGTCAAGTAGATACCGTGCACGAAATATGTACAAGTATCATCTTGTAGCAAGCTGCTGCTACGCTGCTGCTGCTGCTGCTGCTGCTGCCGTGTGTGTGTGGGCGGGCAAGTGACTTCCTGCTGCATGTACCATACAACATACAACGTTTGTGCCTGTACAGCAGTACACTTTTATCTCGTCTTTCCTCCTGCCAAATGCACGGTACCCCTGCCCGCTCACAGATCAACGTCCATCCTCGAGAGCCCATCCATCTCCCTGAGTACAGAGGATGCTATCAACCAACCACGGTTCCACGCTCCCTTTCTTCCCCACTCGTTGCGCACACACGCTTCACAGCCGCGCACAATCGAATACCATATATATTTTCCCGAGATACCCCACCCCCATAAAAAAAAAAAACGAGCATGATTCACGCATCCAAAAACAACCAAACGCAAAAAAGGCGACCCGCCTTGCGCCGTATATATTATCATTGTGCACATTTGCGACGAGCGCCTGTCTCAACCGAACACTCGGGATTTTACTTGAGCTCCTCAAAGCTGGGGTAGCCCCCGCCCCTCTGCAAGCCTCGGAGCTTGTAGAACGCCTTCCTTTCCTCGCTGATAACGTTGTTGAAGGGCATCTTCAACGCCTGCTTGGGGGGGGGGGGGGGGGGGGGACCAACAGCCGGAAACATGGGCAGGGGCATAGGCGTTACAGCGGCAGTAGATACAGAGAGGGACAGAGAAGGGGGAGACGTGGAGAGATCCGAGATACAGGCATGGCAACGCCAGGGAAGGAGAGGGGGTGTACTCATGAAAAAGCATGCCGTAGTCGTGAGACCATTGGCCACTGGGGGCTACAGAAGTAAAAGCCTGCGAGACCGAGAGAGACTCTGACCCAACTCCAATTTCGGCCGACACTACCCAAAAACCCAGACGCCCTGCCATAGGCTAAGGTCGATTCGGCCGAGACGGGACCAGATGCGTGCGCTCCGGGCTGTCCCCAATCCCCGCGATATGCCTCTTTCTTCATGTTAACGACAAGATACCGTAGGTAGGTGACACAAGATACCACACCCCCAGGACCAGTTTTTCAGAGCTCGATTGATGAGTTTTCGGAAAGATGTCGACGAGACGGCTTCGACGACGCCGGTTCGGTGCTGCCACTCTTTCCACTGCGGAGAAATCGAGCTTTGAAATCAGTCCAGGGCGTGGTATCTAACGCCATGTCACCTGCGGTAGGGTGCTTAGACAGGGCCTCGAAGCGTAGGTTGTGCGTCGTTCAACATGCATCGAAACGTCTAGACGGTGCCAGAAAGGACGGGAAAACACACACACACACACACGAAGACACATATGGTCTCGAGACCATCCTATCGTACACCGGACTGCATCCACTGCTGGTCAAGGAAATACATGGAAGTACATGATTATCTCCGAAAGCTATCCGTCCTGTTTCGCTTGGACGGACGGGGCTCTACCATGCATTCAAGACAACGTGTCCGGTCGAATCTAGATGCCTTTGTCAGATAACCTGGCACAGACTATCTCACCCTGCTTATCTCCTGCCGGTTCTTGCCCTTCTCTCCCCCGAGCCCAACCTTCATGCGCAGGATCTTGCGCTGTATTTTGCTGAGGTCTTGGCACAGACACTGCTTTCACGAGACAGACCGCACGCGCGCGACAGGAAAAAGCAGGTCCGATGTAACTTATCAAGCACGGCTGAAGAAGGGGGGGGGGGTGTACTCATAGTCGTGCATGCCGTAACCGTTAGACCATCGACCTCGCATCCTTACAAAGCCGGGACGGAGCACCCCGGGTTCTCACCGGACCAGGCTCTCACATCACATCACCGAGTGCGAAGGGGGGGGGTTACTCGCGTACTCACAGCCGTGGTCGCTAAAACCGCTAATCTCGCATCCCTACAAAGCCGTGATGGAGCACGCCGTTATCACCGGACCAGGCTCTCACATCACCAAGCGCGAAGCGCGAAGCGCCGTGAGGTATTCGGCGAGTCGCATGAAGGGTGCGCTGCATCCTGCTAGGGGTGGTCGAATGTTCTCTTGCCACTTTTAAAGCATGTTGACGATTGCTCATGCATCTCTTCTGAGAAGGAGCATCGCTCTGAGTCCTGGTAGAGGCATCGCCAACACGGTCAAACACTCTTGAGATGCATAAGAGTGGGTGGGGGTGACTTCAAGACACCGCCAAAACTGCCAAATGCTCGCGAGAGGATGAGGGCGGGTGGGGGCTACTCCAAGAGGAAAGGGAGCCGGATTTCAGCCGCTGCTAGTTCCAAAGTCTTCAAAGTAACCGGCCACTTCTTCGGAGTAGACCAGAGTCGGAGCCTACTCCTCAAAACCCAACCTGCTATTACTGGGACCTCACTCGGCCCTATGCCTCCCATACTCCCAACGAGTTTCACCACATCATACCATCGTATTTAGTGTCTCCGTGTGTGTGTTTTGTTTCTACAAGCCAACAATGCATGTTCAATCATCTACAGGGAGGGGGCGGGCCACGGACGCCGCAACCATTACACTGCCCAGCACTCACGAGTCCACCTTAATGGTTTGACATCGGCCTCTGTAAGAGTTACCGTAGGTGACATGACACAAGATACCACACCCCGCGGACCGTTTTTCAACGCGCCACTACAATGCTCCACAAAGAAGAGGGCGCCAACATCAAATGATACGTTTTCGGAAAGATAGCTCTCCACGAGATGTTTCCGCAATCGGCACCGTCACCACCAAGCTTTGAAAAAGTCGGTCAAGGGTGTGTGATATCCTTTACGCAAAAAACCTACAGCAGTACACCACGTAGCAGTCGTGTGGCACTCACGCTTTCCAGGAAATCTCGCTGAATCTCCAACTCGGACGTCGACTCCGTGGACGGATCCGGTGCCTTCACACCCTGAATACCCAGCCCAGCCCAGACAACGACGAGCGCGCGCGGAACAAAAACGAAGGTGGCAGCGATGGGGGAGGGGGGGGGAGGGGGCACAGCGGACGGGGGAGGGGGGGGGGGGG